CATTTAACTTCACTACAATTCTTAACAACACTTGAACTTTGATGCCACCTGAGGATCCAAACTTCCAAAATCCCTCAAATGCTGAACCATACTCACAGCTCACAGAGTTTACACTTGATAACGGTAAGTGATCCTTCTGACCGAAATGTTGGGTTAATCAAAATAAATAAAGACAATGGAAGTCCAAAATTCTTTTATTTTCAATATACTCACAAAGGTTCGAGCATTCGTGATCTGTTTATTCGAATACTCTTCGGAATATAGCCTCTTAGCTTCCACAGCCCCTTCACCTCCCAGGAGGAAGTATGTAAAATTCACATGTTAGGTAGAGTTTAGAAGCATATCCACCTCCTTCGGATTTGTATAGGCCATCGCGATTTACCGATACCAATACCGATTACCGACACAAAAATATGCACTAACGAACATTTCAAACACCATCTCCGATAACTTTCTGGAGTTTTAAAAACTCGATACTATTAGAACTCGACTATCAGAAATCGTTGACGTTTTCTTGTAGACGTATCTGTTTTAAAAAGTAAAGTGTTCTCGAATAGTTCAATTTAAATATTTTAAATAGTTTTTTTCTTGATTCTTTATATTTTTTTGCTTCCGACGACGGAAAGAGAAGACTTTCCGAAACGTTAAGCATTTTTTTTCTTTTTTAGGCAAATTTTTATTACTGTAAACACAACTTCTGACAAGCAGCGTCCGTTTAGGTTTAACGCCAGAAGTGTTTACAAAAAATAACTATTTTATTTTGTAGATTTTTCTTGCAGTGCAGTGGCGAAAAACCCATAAGGATTTTTTTGGATAGATGAATCCGCCACATAGGTATAGACATTTTTTAAAATTAGGGTAAAGAAACAACCCTTCGATTAACCCTGTATAATATGCCAAATACTAAAGTTTATAAAAAACTGAGTTTATGAATTAAAGTTGATAAAATTATATACAGCTTGCTAAAAAATTCATGAAAATAGGACTAAAAATAACGAAAATATAGCTCTTTAAAATTTGACCAAAATTTTCTCCGTTGCGTTTTTTTGCATCTAAGTGTAGAAACTTGGTAGAAACGAATGAGATTCTGCTCTATTTTGATTAATTTAAAAAAATGCTAGAAGAATGGATATGAAATATTAAGTATCTGGCATGAAAGTATCGACATTCAAATTTCTGTATTATTGAAGTATCTAATTTATGTGTCCCATGAATGTTGATATGTGCAAAAGAATAAATACTGCAATATACTGCCCACAGCGAAATGTTATGACTGAATATTCATAAATATTTGTTTAATACCTAATTCGCGATTGTCAATAAATAACGTAAATAAGAGCTTATCGTAATAATTAATTGTTAGAGATATATTAAAATTCATTTTGAAATAATATCGAATGTGGGTGTAAATTATATAAGGTGTCTCAAATTATGTGAACTAATCTTAATATAAAATTGAAAGAAGGCGTTCATTATTTTTAAAATGAAAAAAAAATATATTTCGAGAATTTTCGTTTCTATTTTCACCCGCAGTTTGGGACAAGCTGTGCAATTATGAAGGAAAATTTGTTGGTTTTTGTTATGAAGTGTAAGGATAAGCAGAAATATCTCACGCTAATCACACTAATCACGCATAAATCTGAAAAATGAAAAGTAACCATAGATAAGAGAATAAAAATAACATAACCAAACATTACCCAAAAAAGCTTTGTTTTTATTTTTTACAATATAAAACCATTGTTTTTATTGCTGCTGAATAAAAATCGATAATTTATCTCATGTGACATAAAAATAAAATTTGTATTTTTTTTGAAACTCGCACCTTCACGTCAAATATCGTTTCCTGTTCAAATAATTTCCTGTTCTAAAAATTTTCGGCGCATATTTTAAATTTTAGGTTTTTGCTACAGCAGCGCTATCTTAAGGTGCGTTCACACCGGCCGTACCGCTCCGCGCAGAGCATTTTTTAACATGTACTTTTTGAAATGTATTTTTTTTAGCGCTCACAAAAGTATATGTTAAAAAAATGACTTGCGCGGAGCGGCGCAGCTGGTGTGAACGCACCTTTAAGTCTTTCCTTTTTTATGACCATTTTTAATGCACGAATATATTTCTCCTTACCTCTCTACACTCCATAGTTTTTGTATTTTATCAGATAAATTTCCATTTCCTAGAAAATTTATTCAGTAAATCGATTTAGGTAAAACAATAAATTACTTATTTAAATCATTTTTTCCCGGCCAATTCTCACGCTCTCGTTTAGTTTCAGTTTTTATATAATAGCCTCTTTTGAAACGTCATAGTTTTAGCAAAATTATAGTTCACTGTAACAACTAAAGTGAATGTAATTCGAACTTGAACCATCTGATCAGTTGAACAGATCATTTACTTATAGTCTAAGATCCCGCTGCATGATTGGCTGATTATATTTTTAATCAAAACATAATTTTTACGTATATTTATGAAATACGGGAATACACTTTTAACAGTGTCAATCAAAAAGTTGTCGCAAGTAGGGGTTGTCACGGTTCAATTTTTTTCCTGATATACTTTATACGGGTCCGGCAACAATGCATTGGGCATCTGTAGCTCCTATAATAAAAAACTTAGGAATTCTGAATAAGTGCAATCCTAAAGTATATATTAAGATATATTTCAGGAAAACATTTGAACTTCTACAGGGTGGTTAAAAATCAGCCTGTATAATCCATATTACAAGGCATGACATGATCTTTAAAACATCCACTTTTTTAATCTAGTTCTAATCTCTTAATAGTACCAAACAATGTTATATTTGTATTCTTTGGTAATACAAAGACACCGAACATTATGCAGATATCAAATTAACTATAGGGAAATTAAAATATTTTTGGTTGCACATCATAATACGACCACCAGCAAACTCCATAAGACGGCGCGACGCATGGTGTCAGTGATGACGTTCAGCGAAAGCCTTTTTTAAGAAGATTTAATAACTATATAAAAAAATTGCTAGGTTATAAGTAAAAATTTTGTTGTATGTAATATATGCATTAATATAGAGAAAAAAATATGGAAAAAGTTCAAGAATCTCTGGCTCGAAGGTGTTACTGAATATTCCGAAATGAAATTTTAAAGTTTCTTAAAACTTTTAAGAATTTCTTTAGGAAACAAATTTTACGTTCAATCTAGTCGTTTTTCACATCGAGTTTTGTATCGAGAAGTTATAGTCTAAGAGCTAGCAACGTTTTCGAGAGAGAATTCTAAGAAAACTGCAGTGTATCTATTTAAAAGAATGTAAGTTTGAGTCATTTTTCGAAAATGATACCTCCCAGCGAAAAACTAGTTACGCCACTGGAGTCTACGTGAAAAACTCTAGGGACACATTTTCAATGCATTAATATCAAAGTCGCCCTGTATTTTAGAAACTAAGAAGCCTAGAACAAACCTACAGTGTCCGACAATAGTGCGTCGGGCATCTGTAGCTGTAGCTCCTAGAATAAAAAACTGGGGAATTCTGTTTAAGTGCAAACCTAAAGTATGTATTAGGATGTATTTCAGGAAAATATTTTAACTTCTATAGGGTGGCTCAAAAAAGTGTGAGTGGATAGGGGTGATTTTTTTTAAACGGTACACCCTGTATATTATTGCATTTTTGGCTTCCTTTCAGAACATTTTACATATTCCTAAGACATGAGTAAATATATTTCGATAATTTCAGAGATATTAATAAATAAAAGTTATATATTTTTCAGTCTTTCTTAAAAAATTATTAATAATACAAGAACTGTCCTGAAATCAATACTATATTAGGTATTTACTGTAGATGGACTGTACTTAACTTTGCTATAAATATGGAAATCGTAAATCATACAGGATCTTCAAAATTCTACGCCAAACTTTCTAAAATATAAAATAATTTTTCTTCGTTGTTTTTTTAAATGGAACACCATGTATATTATGCTTTCAATAAATGGAGAATTAAAAAATGATCATTTTTTGTATTTAGAGTATTTCAAAATTTTTAACGGTTTCGCAGATATTCGCGGTTTTATATTACGTATGGCATTTTCCACAGTAAATTTTTATCAAAGCCACCCAATGATTTTTCTCGTTTACCATTGAAAGCGCCATATAAAATAATACTGCGTGTATCTGCAAAACTATTAAAAATTTTGAAATACTTTAAGTACAAAAAATGTTCACTCTTTAACTCTCCATCCAATAAAAAAATAATATACAGGATGTTCCATTTAAAAAAACAAAGAAAAAATATTTTATATTTTAAAAAGTTTGGCGTAAATATTGAACATCCTGTTTGATTTACGATTACCATATTTATAGCAAAGTAAGAACAGACTATCTAAAGTAAATACCTAATATAATTTTGATTTCAAAACAGTTCTTGACTGAAAAATATATATTTTTGATTTATTGATTAATATCTCTGAAACTATATAAAAATATTTACTCATATCTTAGAATTATGTAAAGTGATCTAAAAGGAAGCCAAAGATGCAATAATATACAGGGTGTTCCATTTAAAAAAATCTAAAAAAATCATCCAGATCCACTCACACTTTTTTGAGCCACCCTATAGTTAAAATATTTTCCTGAAATACATCCTGGTACATACTTTAGGTTTCAAAAATCTCAAGTTTTTTATTCTAGGTGCTACAGATACCCGACGCACTATTGCCGGACCCTGTATATGTAGCATATTTAGTTTCATAAAAAAGTAACAAAGTAATATGAAAACCACATCATTATATCTCTACTAATAAACGAGAAATCCCATAAAACTCACCAAAATAGGACACTCTGTATAGACGTGATGCGCAGTAGTGATCGGGACGTCTACCGCCAGCCAGACGGCTCGCACTCTGTTCAGGAGAGCATAGCAAAAGATATATTAAAGATCCAGCTTTCTTAAAATGCTTGTTTTCACGACGTTGTGATTTGCTTAAATGATTTTGATTTTATAGCTAATAGACGATATTAATATTTATTTTACTTTTCAGGATCCTGATGGAAGATGACAATTACGATGATCAATTTAAGTTTGACTACAGGGGCCCCGTACAGATGAAAGGCAAATCAGAACCGATGAACGTTTATTTGTTATCCAGAAACCTATTTACTATATTAGAGACAGATGTATAAATGGATTTAAAGAATAATAAAATCGATGTATTTATTTATTGGAGAATATGTTATTAAAGATGGATATTATTACTAATCTATAATTTTTATGATAAACTTGTTTCAGAATATACAGGGTGTCCCAGGCTGAGGTTCATTAGAAGTTTACAGAACTACAACATCTAGCTCGGAGATTTTTTGCAGATTATAGTTTCACAATAATCTATCAATTGAAAATATTTTCAATATGGCGGCACTTCCGGAAATACCGGAAGTTGACAGCAACTTTCTTATTTTAAACGGGTGCCCCCATTTTTTATTACATACTTAAATTCTCTGTAAAATTTTATGAATTTTGATAAACACTCTATATCTAACATTGACCGTTTTTGAGAAAAAAAATATTTAAAATTTTTGAACACTGTGCCATAAAGAGAAAACATGTGGCTATCTATTTCAAAAATTAAATTGTTCGAATATCATATGATAATGACCGCAGCTGTCATAGAATTGAGCGATTAAAAAATTATCATAAAGCATTTTTTTCAAATGGAAACCCGCTTTTTTATTTCACTAGTGAAAAGGCTTTTCAATTCGTTACTTTTTGACTATACATGTTCCTATACCTAAAATAAATCGTTTTTAAGTTATTTACGATTTAGTTTTAATGCGTATATTTTTTATGATTTTGCCCAGTAGCCTACGACTTTAAACGTCAAGTGATGTAAAACAATAGATCTGGCCATGTTATATTGTGACGCTTTGTTCAAAAATCAGCATCATTTCAGAGCCAACATTGTGCTGTTTTCTTTTTCGACCATACGGAATATTATTAATAATATCAACTTTAGATATCACTAAAGAGCGAAAATACGAGATATATTTTGATAAATACACTTTTTAAACTCTTAAGGCAGGCAGTATTTATAATATAGGAAATTCAAATAGTTCGTTTTCTGACAGATGTAAATAAATTGTCTGGCCGTTTGACACTTAATGTCAAAGGAAGCTAGATAAAATAAAGAAAAATATACGTTTTCAAATTAAATGTTAAATATCTTAAAAACGATTTATTTTAGGTACAGGAACATGTATAGTTAAAAAGTAACGAATTGAAAAACCTTTTCATTAGTGAAATAAAAAAAGTGGGGCTCCATTTGAAAAAAATGATTTATGATAATTTTTTAATCGCTCAATTCCGTGACAGCTACCGCCATTATTATATGACATTTGAACAATTTAATTTTTGAAATAGATAGCCACATGTCTTCTCTTTATGTCAGAGTGGCCGTGGTAATCACTAAATTTGACTTTTAGGGTATATACATTTTTTTGACAGGTAGTTTTTTTCGTCCAAAAATTTTAAATATTTTTTCTCAAAAACGGTTAATGTTAGTGTTTAACATCAATATTCATAGAATTTTACTTAGCATTTAAGTATGTAATAAAAAATGGGGGCACCCATTTAAAATACGAAAGTTACTATCAACTTCCGGTATTTCCGGAGGTGCCGCCATATTGAAAATATTTTTAATCGATAGATCTCGTTGTAAAATAATGATGTGCAAAAAATCTCGGATCTAGATATTGTGGTTCTCTAGAAACTTCTAATGTACGCTCAGCCTGGGACACCCTGTATATCAATATATTGATAGAAAAATATAATAGAATATATTGAATGTTAAATTAATCTCTAAAGAAATTTAACTCTATGTCATCAATCTTCATGTATCTACTAACTAATATATGTATTGTAATATGGCAATATGTAATATTTAACAATAATTTATTTATTTGAAAACTTCATATCTTTTCGCTCATTTCAATTATTCTAAAATGTTGTAATACTGTTCAGAAATAAATAAATGGAATTGAAAGAACAATACTGACTATTTTTTTATTCATATACAGGTTAAAGGGTTATATATAGGTATATAGGGTTAGTGATAAACTCCTTCCTTACTCTTTTTGTTCAGTTGTAACAGCAGATTTAGACATGTTTATTAGACATATTTTTGGAAACATTTAGGCGTCTTTTTTTATAGTAATCTTCCATAAAATACATCCTTAAAACAAATAATTAAATTAAAAGAATTTCGGATTTGTATTGTCTTTATTTATTTTGCTTAAGATTTTTATATACAACTCATAAATGCCTTTATTGTCAAAAAATTTTTCAATTTGTAAACAAAGGTAAACTAACAAACAAAGTAAAAAAACAAGGTACACAAACAAACAAACAAAAGATAATACAAAACATTATACAAATAATATTGTCAGTCTTATTGTTTAAAATAAACATTTATAAATGTTTATAATGTCAAAGAACAAAAAATAAAAATAATATTCAAAAATATTTAGCTAGTTTATAGTAAAATATCAATGACCTCTAAATAAATTCATTTCGATGTCATTAGTAAATATAGCAATAGCAAACAGTAGACCAGTGTTTACAAGATCAAATTTTATTTTCAAAATATAATTCATTTACGGCGTAGAAAGCCTTGTCTAGTAAATAAGAGTTCAATTCTTTGCGAAATGAAAAAAATGATGTTATGGATTTGATTTCAAATGGCAGGTGATTGTGCATTTTTTTCGAGTTGTATAATATTGAACTTTTAACTAACTCTGAGCGTGTGGTAGGTAGATATGATAGTAGGTATGATCTTGCTCCACGTTCCTGAGTGGATAAGTGTGAGATGGCCTTTCTTGAGAAGCTGATACATGTTTACGTATTAGGCAAACGGATTCAAATATAAATAAGGAAGGAAGAGTCAATATTTTTATTTTTTTAAAAAGTCCCGGCAATGAGTTCTGCTGTATAATCCCAGTGAATATCGAACAGCTCTCTTCTGGAGCCTGAAAATGCGGTCAAATTGAGTCGCACAACACATACCCCAGAATGGAAGGGCATACCTGAGGTGCGACTCAAAAAGTGCATAATAAACAGTTTTAGCCACTGACAAGTTAAGCTCCTTAGAAACAGACCTTAATGCAAAACAGGCAGAGCTCAATTTTTCCGACAAAGCTTCCATATGTATGTCCCATTTCAGAGAATTGTCCACAACAAGCCCTAAGAATTTTACAGATTTGACGACGTCAATGGTGGTGTTGTTAAGTACAAAAAGCTGCAACGAGTTTTTATACGACAAAGCTTTAGTTTTAGAAATGTTGAAACTTAGGAGGTTCGAATTGCACCAAGATTTAATGGTGATTAAGTCATTTGATATAATCCTATGAAGTGCCGTGATGTCCTTGTTGCTCCAACTGATGCTAGTGTCATCCGCAAAAAGACATATTTTGCCACTGATGTTTATGTTAGCAATGTCGTTAATAAAAAGAAGAAACAAAATAGGGCTTAGTACTGAGCCTTGTGGTACTCCACATTCTATTGGCTTGCTAGAAGACAACGTGGTATCCACCCTCACAAGTTGACTTCTGTTGCTCAGATATGACTTAAACCATTCGAGAGATGATCCCCTGAACCCATAGTGCTGCAGTTTATTAATTAAGATCTTATGATTTACACAATCGAACGCCTTAGAAAAATCACAGAAAATTGTTGCTGTAGAATGATGGTTGTTTAGGCTGGAGTAAACTTTATTAAGGAGGGAAAACATAGTGTCATTTGTGGACTTGTTGCTTAGAAATCCAAATTGATATTCAGTAAGTATTTTGTACTTAAACAGAAAAGATACCAGCCTTCTTTTAACCAACCTTTCTATGATCTTAGATAGCGTTGGAAGGAGTGCAATTGGGCGATAGTTAGAAGCTTCATCTTTGTCTCCTCCTTTATGCAGAGGAATGATTATTGTCGTCTTAAGACATTCTGGAAAAATACCATTTTGGGACGACATGTTTATTAAAGTTGTTAGGTGATTCAGAGTGCTTTCTGGCGGATTCGAAAACATTTTTAAAATTAGCCCGTCGGTCCCAGAAGAGGATTTATTTTTGATGGTATTAATTGTACTGCGAAGCTCTTCTAAGACTACGGGCGAAAAAAAGAAACTGTGTAAGTTTACAATATCATTAGAGAGATAAGAAAGTGGATCATGAGGAGGACATATGGTCATCAAATAAAACTATTTAACTGAGGTCTATTCATATATCCCCTATATCTATTCCTCCTAAACAAAGTAGACCTCGTCCAGATTACCTTTAGCAGCAAAAAGCAGACGTTAACTTGAGATATTTTACAATTTTATAAGTGAAAATATTTTAGGGGTGGTGTACGTTGACCCCAGAAACACGTCTATGAGGTTATTTTCGCGAAAAAAAAATTGGGAACTTTATGAAAAATATTTTGGAATTTTTAGTTAAAAACATAATACCTTCATAATATGGCAACATGTATAGGTAATAGCATCAATTTACAAGAATGAACACCCAGGAAAGATCTAGTGATTCTCAAAAGTTAAGCTAAAAATATATATTTTTTTTAATTTTCAAAGAGTAATATCCCGATTATTTTGGACTTATTTCAAAAACGGTAAAGAAAAAATATGTTTCTTTTATCGAGATCTACCAGCCCTGAAAATATTTGCTCTTATTTAAGACCCACCCTGTACATTATTCTTTATTTTATAAACATTCACTAAAGACACTGATTAATTTGCCCATTTTCTACAGTCGCTATCCGTAATTTACTTTCAGATATGGAATTAAGTGAATTAATTTAGCCTTTCATGACTTTTTGTCTTTCATACCCCAGATAACCGTTAAATTACAAATTATTATTATGTTCAAGAGGAAAAATAGTCGCCAACCAAAATTTAGCGACGGAAAGTAAAAGTAATTTTAATACGTTTTACATAATACTGCCATTTGAAACAAGATATAATTACTAGCGGATTTTTTTTATTGTGGTTTAGATAATACTATGGTTATATTTCGACATCAAAATATTGAGTTTGTGTGACGAAAAACCTTAAGCGCAAAAGTTTTGAAGCCTAGAAATATAATCCATCCAGTTTCAATTTTATATATTGTATTTTTTTTTTAATTTTTATATAGATATTTTGTTTAAAAAAATGGGGAAGATACACTTATTGCTGATGTGTACGAGAATAGATGCAGTGAGTTGACCAGCTAGTATATCATAAGAAGGCGCTAGCTAAACAAGGTATTGACAGGTCTTTATGAAACTCTCGTCAATATACAGAGTGGTCCGAATTGTATTCCGGAAACTTTGGTAGCGCATTCTGCAGATAAAAATAAGTAAAAAAGTTCGTATAAATGTATGTCCTAAAATGCTTAGTTTCGGAGATAGTTTCGGACAGGGTGTAGAATATTCATTTTTATTTCGATTTT